CATAGGCTAACACTTCTCGCTGAAAAGTATCCACGAGCTGGGCTCGGGTAATGAAAAATGCCTTTCAAACAAAGGCGCTGGAAGCGAGGCTAGCGAAATAGAAATTCTAAGGCCTGAACGCTTTGGGTCGCAGGTCAGTCCCATATTCGAAGCACTATCCCTCATTATAGCGCGCGTAGATGACATGAGTATCTCCGGGAGTATCTGAGGATCCAAGGGGGTGTATCAGATTGCGTATTATTTTTGAAGTTGTGGGCAACATCTGATGCCGAGTCACAGCAGCTGGAAGCTTGAAAGCTCGAGCCCTGCTCTACTCCATATGTACGGTTACATGTATTGAGCCAAGCAAGACACGGAGAAACTCACCCAGTATGTTGATGAACCCCGCCTTCCTATAAAGTTCTCTCGCGGGTTGGTTTGTGCGGAGAACCAGTAGGTAGACTACACCCCAGTTCGGGTACGCCTTGGGAAACTGAGAGACAACAAGCATTGAAGGCTACTCTCAATGGCCATTTTTCGTGGGAATAGAGACTGCACAGTTCAACAGGAGAGTCCATCGCTGGTATCACCTCCTTGAAGGTTACAGACAAAAGTGTCGATGCAATTTTCTGCCTTCGCCAAGCTTCGACGACATAAACCTGAAAGTCCAGTTTGCAACTACCGTTCGAAAAAACAACCGAGTGGCGGCATTCGGCTTACAATATTTATGAGTCCAATCTTCCCAGACTTGCTCCCTTCCGGCCTATGAAGACAACGTTTGACTCAAACGGTTTGAGGATACCTCCATCGTCAATGTAGGACTCACCTGTGGGCTTTGATGGCAGTCTTGATCTTCTCAGGTGTGTTTTCTTCAGGGATGTCCATAGCGACCACGCCGACGACAGTCTGGGGAGGGAATTATTTCCGGCATAGTCATCGTAAACTACTGGATGCAGCCTACGATCCTCAATTCATTTTTAACCCACACTAGCGAATCGATAGTGTGCGAGACGGTCTCGCCGAGACCGGCCGTTGTCTCAAACCGGAAGTGCATTGCACTCCATTCAATCATTAAATTTCAATGCACGAGACGCTCGATGCAGGA